CTTCCAGGATTCAATAACTTCAATACTTGAGATTCCCAAACATGTGTGCGGCATTAATTTTTTGGCAAGAGCGTAAAAACCCACCACACACATGAGGTTTGCTTTTTTGGCCGATGAACTTTTCCCTCATTTCTAGGTAGCCGGGGATGGAAAATATCAATTATTAATTAATGTGTGGGACGAGAGAGAGAGTGAGAGAGAGACATAGAGCAAGAGATTATGTCTGAATGAAACAACACAGTTCGACAAAATTAGGGACAGCTAAATCGTCTTTTGATTAATCAACAGATCAAGAAAGTATACATATGTCCGCTACAAAGCGGAGGTGTAAATAACCTACAGGAAATGTAAGAAGAATTGCAAATTGAACAATTTAAAAAGTATCAATCGGTTTTGCAGACAGATGTATACTCTCAGCCAATGTTCGATTACTTATGCAGGGTGAGATGAAAAAACTGCAACTAACTTCAGACTGCTGTCATTTCTAAACAACTCGTCCGACAAATATTAAAAAATGAGCTCGGGGTAAAGCCATTGAAATTCCAAAAGGTGCAAGAACTTACACCGCAACAGAAAGAAAATAGACTCAAAAGAGCTAAAAAGTTGCATCGCTTGGCCGAACGAAAGTGGTGAACTGCCGAATTTGGGTTTCTCCTCTGCGATGAGAAAACATTCGTTGTCCAGCAGTTTGTAAATAATCCAAATGATGGTGTTTACTTGCCAAAGAGGTCAGCTGCCAAATGTGCAACTTCGGTTGGCCACCAGAACTCAAGCGCCGGCCATGGTGATGGTATGGGCCGCCATAACAGCCGATGGTCGCTCTCCGCTCGTATTAATCAACCGTGGCATCATAATAAATGCAGAATATTATCGCGAAAATATTCTGAAGGGTGTATAAAAGCCTTGGCCACGCAAACATTTTGGCCGCGGACCTTGGACATTCCAACAGGACTCAGCACCAACCATCGCACTCAGCACGCGCCACCCAAGAAAGGTTACAAAATGAGGTTCATCGCTTCATTTACAGCGCACAATGGCCACCAAAATCTCCGGATACCAATCCGTTGGACTACCCGTGTCTGGAGTATTTTAGAAAGCAAGGTTGGCAATAAAAAATACCAAAGTGTCGATCACCTCAAACAAGCGCTTCGCCGGGAATGGGTCAAAATACGGCGCAGAGCAACATTCGGGCAGCGTTTGACAGTTTCATTGGCCGTTTGAAGACCATAATTCGTGCCAAAGGTGACCAATTTGAAAATTATGGCATTTGACTTTGCTGCAGTTTTTTTTATCTCACCCTGTATATATCTGCAGCTTAAAGGTTATATTTTAGCTTTTTGGCAGCACTGGTTTAAACAGCTCACGCGCGCTTCGTATTTTGCGTTCACTGTCTGGAGTTATTAAGAGGCGAGTTCGGTGGTGAACATTTTACATCACTTTCGGGACCGGTCAATTGGTCGCCTAAATCGTGCAATTTAACGCATTTAGACTAGTTTCTGTGTGGCTATGCATAAGAAGACAATATTGAAGCATATATTCGTGATCCGGCCGAAGTGCTGGAAATGGTATCACCCTAACTATTTTCAAAAAAAAAAAAAAAAAAAAACAAAATCAAAGATTTAAAAAGGGTGAATTTTTTAAAACAATTTTTTTCTTGCAATGAAAACTTTGACCAAAAACGAACAAAGGAAAAAATATGTTATTTTATTTCATTTTTTTTTTAAGAAACCAAAAATTAAATGATTTTTCCAAAGATTTGTGAAAAAAGAAGTTGACGTTTTGTTTGTAGAAATACTTAATTGACCCAGGAAAACTGATCCTTATCCAGTTAAGCAACACATTTCTTGATTATATTTTCTCATCTAAGTACCTCTCACCATTTTTCGGAAAGAAAATTAAAATGTGCCGTCGGAAAAAAAATTCACAAACTTTGGACCATTACATATGGAGAGTTTTCTGTCCGAAAAGTTGCATGGATCACCAAACGGAACTATAGATGTTCGGCCATTTTTTATACCCTCAGCTAGAGAGGGTTTATATAATTTGATACGGCCAAAACGTGCCTCATCGAAATAACGGTTTTAGATCTAGCGGCTGGTGCGCACAATAACTCTTGAAGGGAGTGCCCGATGTGGTCCAAACGTGAGACATCGTAATATTATTATCAAACTTAGGTTGAGTTCGGAGATGGGTAACATCGTCCACACCTTCTGGAACCTCCCCCACGAAGTTTCAAAATTTTGAGTAATCAAAACGATGATAAAACTGTAAAAAAGTATCCGGTTCTCTTCATATTTCAAACATCCCATTATTTCTACTAACAGAAGATCTGCTGTGAAGATCAGATGCATCGGTCTACTCCTTCTGGTATCTCCCCCACAAAGGGTAAACATTTTGAATATCCATGAAGGTCATATAACGCGAAATTAACATCCGATTAAATTCAGACTTGGCACAATCCAATATTTCCATCAAGACAATACCTGTTATAAAAATGGTAGAGATCGGACCATTCCTACTGGTACCTTCCCCACAAAGGGTCAATGTTTTAAATAACCAAAACGATAATAAAATCCGAAATAAGAATCCTGTTCTCTTCATACTTCACACATCACATCATTTCTACTAACACAAGATCTGCTGTGAAGATCAGATGCATCGGTCCACTCCTTCTGGTATCTCCCCCAAAAAGGATGATACTTCATGAGGTTCATAAAACGCGAAATTAATATCCGATACCATACAAATTTGCCACATCTCAATATTTCCATTAACACAAGATCTGTTATAAAGATGATAGAGATCGGACCATTTCTTCTTGTTCCTGCCCCACATAGGGTTCAAGATTTTGAAGAAGAAAAAAACGCTCAAAGAAAGCGACCAAACATTTTTGCTAACGCAAGGTCAGTGAGTGAGGTATCAGAAGGGGTCCGCAGCTATATATTATCTTCACATATAAATCAGCGGACCCCTCCTGATACCTCACCCACAAAGGATGACAATTTTCAATACCATTATCTGTCATAACTTGCGAAACAAGTTAGCGCAATCCGCGGTCCAGAAACCAGAGATAAATATGGAATATATCGGAATTTAGGATTACGCATAAAATTGAATTTAAATGTTCGGTTTTCTTGTAATTTTGCCCATATCAATTTTTTGTCTGTATTAGATGAAGTATGAAAATGGAATACTTCGTTCTAATATATCTGGTTCCTCAGGCACACTTTCCAAAAATTATCAAATATATCTCATATAAACTGAAGGAAGTAGTCGATATAGTCCTGACCTGCCAGGTCGTAATATTTATATCATATTAATTTAGGTCCGATACGAAATTGATAATATTGGTCCATTACTTCGACACCTACTCCATAGAGGGTCAACAATTTGAATAATCACACAACACAAGTCAAAATATATTTAAATAATCGAACATTGACTGAGGGTATACATCTGTCGGTAAAACCGACTGATAATTTTTAACTTGTTTTATTATAATTTTCATTTCATCGTCGCTATTTTTTGCCCGATTTTCCCTTTACGATATCGAAAAAAAATTCAAAACTAGTAAAAAGTAAAAGTGAGCGCAGATTTTTTTGGTAGCCTTTTCTACTCCATTCATTTTAGAAGAAGAATAGGCTTTTTTAGCATATAAGCCTTTTTTACAATCCTCCGACGGCATTTATCCTACTACTGCCGTGGTCGATGAAAAAGAACTCCAGCCTTGGCTTGCGACATTCAAATTTTCCATAGCCCAAAATATTCCAATTTACGGCCTTTGATTTAAGGCAATTCTTTATTCCTTTGTCTTGAATTGTTTCGCCACACTACATTTTATTATATTTTCATTACAATTTTCCTATTTTCATTTGAATTTTCCATCATAAATTTATGTGTTTTTCCACGCACAACTCTATTACTATTTCATTGTAATTATTACACAGAAAATGGTTGAGATGACAATTCACATTGATTTGATAGCCCTTATCAGTTCTCTTCACAACATCTTTTTGAGAGAGAGAGTTGGTCTTATCAGAAATGTGAGTAAGCCGTTATCATGTCTCCAAAGAAAAACACACAGACGCACACAAAATGCATGACTTATGAGATGATGCAATCGAAAGAGATGTGCAACAGTAACAACAACAAAAAAAAACGAAGCAACGGTAATAACAGAATGGAGCACCTCAACAAAAAACAGCTGAGTAAGCAAATGAGAGGGGATTCTGCGCCTAATTGCAAATTGTTGTTGTTACTGTTATTGAGATGAAATGCATTTGTCAAAGTAGTCGTCTTCGTCGTCGTCGGTGGCAAGTTATAAAAGTCATGAAGGCATATTGTTGTTGTTTTTTTTTTCGTTTGGGTTGGTAGAAGAATAGAAACAAAAGGATGCATGCAAATGAACTTATTGACATGGAGACGAAAGCGAAAAAACAGGAGCATAAAATAAACAAATGTACACACACACTCACACGCACTCATCAACATACATGTGGGTGCTGGGAAGAGGGACACTTGAGTTATTGATTTTGGTTTTCAAGACGGATTTCATTCATTCGATAAAGAAATTGTTAAAAATTTATAGGAAAAAATAGCAATTTAAGTTGTGGTAATAAAAAAACATGATCTTTTTAAATTTTGAAATTGTGAAAAATAAATTTATTCCTGCCATTTCAGGGCATTAATTGAATATTTATTTTTTTTTAGATTCTAGAAATTATTTTTTGCATTTTTATTTGATCTCACTTAGCATTTTTTGTTTCAGTTCTTATTCTCCTTTTGTGTAAACAAATTAGAACAACAATAACAAAAACAATTTTGCTTGATTTGTATCTCCCCGTTTTGTTTTGTTTGATTTTGTTAAGGCGAATGCCAGCAGTGTCGGCCACGGCGACCAAATTGTATCCACCAAGTATTCTAAAAATAACGTTCTCGCCAAGAAAAATCACCGAAAAAAATTCAACAACAAAAACAAAAAATATAATCATCACACTTACACTCAAAGAAAAAAATAATAGGTGATCACAAAACACTTGCTTTTTTGCTTATGGTCGGGCGGTCAGAGAACATGTGTTTACGTTTTTGAAACACACACGTACACACGCTTTTGGGAAAAATGGCCTTGTTTTTTTTAAATAGGTATTTTTTTTACAAATTTTCTTTAAAAAATTCACTTTTTTCGTTAATTATTTTTTTTTTAATTTTTTATTTGTTGTTGTTTTTTTTAATTTCAAAATTTCAACACACACAAAATTGCAAATAATTTTTCCAAAATATTCCTTTACTGTGCTTTCCACTTTTTATTTTATTTAAATTCAATTGGAATTTTCATTTAACCCGTCGAAGAAATTGCAATATTCCTTCTGTTTGTTGTTGCTTCTTTTGCTGTTATAATTATTTGTTTTAGTTGTTGTTGCTGGGTATTTCAACCGGATTGGGATTTTCTACTTTCTGTTTGTTTAACTAAATACGATTCCGTTTTATTTGAACAACCAACACGCACGCCTTACAATCTTAAACTAAATTGAACAAGGCACGACACGGCACGGTACGGCGGCGGCCACCAAACGAAAGTATCACACACACAAAAATCAACAAAATAATTTGATATTGTTTTTTGATGAGGCAGGCAGCAGCATCATCATTCACAGCAACAACAACGACGACGGCAACGTAAGCAGAGTCTTGCCTTACCTCTCACTCACAGTAGTCCACAACATCGTAGTCGTCGTTGTAGTAAATCGGTATTCCCTCACCACCACCCCCTTGGCAAACACAAAAAAACCAACAACCCATATGAGATGACCAAGAATAGAAAAACCAACAATACACAAAAACCCATAAGGAAATACAAGCAACAACAACAACACCAACAGCCATTATGCACACAACCACCAGAGCCGCGCAACAATTTGGGGAATGCATTCATTGCTCACAATGAGAGCAGTAATATCCTCAACGCCAACGACGGCATACGACGAGTACAAGAGAAAAACAAATAAAAACAAAATACCCATCAACAAACATTAACATGGTCGTCGTCGTTGCCATCATCATTAACATTATTATCAACACAGTTTTGCTGGCCGCGTCTCTGTCGACGCAGCAGTAACGAAGCCAACATCGTCGTCGTCACCGTCAACACATGAACTAGCCATAACCAACAGAAAAACCAACAGAGTTTCGTCGTCCCGTATTCATTCATTTATTTATTTGCCCACGAGAAAAATCAGGCAAACAATCACACACACACACGACCGAACGAGCGAGCGGCCGACCACATCACACGAAGCCACAACTCGTGAGAGTCAGAGAGCTAAAAAGAAGAGATTCAAAGGAGGAAATAATAAATACAATGTGAGGGCTACTGTGTTTTGATTATTTACATAGCAAAAACCAACATTGACTCTCATTGTCTCCTTTGCCAAAAATAAAGCAATAAATCACAGAAATGTGAGCAGAGCATAGAGAGCTCTCTCTCTCTCTCTGTTATGTTAAGTAGATGGCGAAAGGAGATGCCAGGTGGGTAGTTTTGTAAAGGATTTGAAGAAATTTCTTTATAGAAAGCCTTTACTATTAAAGGGAATTAAATGGAAAATTAGGGCAGAATTTTGAAATATTGAGTGCCTGGGATGTGAGATATGACTATGCTTACACGTAGTCCACGCCGAAATATAACAATCCGTGCAAATTTATCAAAATTGTATAAATGTGTGCGTATATTCTCATCCTAAAAAAATTGAAAACAGAACAGAACTCAATAACTTTGGAAGCCGAGTCGTCTGTGCTTCTAATATGTCATAAAAATACATTATCCGTCAAATTTCTTTGAAAACTACCAGGATTTAAAAATTTTCTTTAACGAAGGAAGAAGTAGAACATTTTTTTCTAAGAAGTTTTGTAATAAGATTGGTGGTTCATGCTTCAAATACAAAAAATATTTAATTTGGAAATTTCTACAAATTGTATGTTCCACAATCTACATTGTAAATGAGAATGCCCCATCCGAATAAGAGAAGAGTGTTAAAGGTTGTGAGACTTAACCATAGTCTCATCTGATATAAAAAACGTGACTTGGCAAGTCGTTATTTAACTAGGATAAAAACATCTCCTAAAAAACGCCAAAAATAAGCAGATCGCCCGATTAAAAAAGAAATTGAACGCCACATTGTCCTTAACTATGCAAAAGCTTACTGTCCAGAATACAGAGGGTTCACTTATCGTCGCTTTAGAGGTTCTTCCGAGACAACATTAGAAATAAGACCACATAACGGAAATAAGACCAAATTTCTAAGCAGATGCAGCGGGCGTAATAAACTCCGTCGTTCCAAACCAACTGCTCTTAATGTTAGTGAAATCTCAATAGAGGTCAACCGGTTTATACAGGAGTACAATTGAAACAGGAGTATAGTGGAACAGACATGAATCAACGGTGAGTAACTGTTAGAACGCTCTCGAACCCTCTAACGGCGATTTAAAGAAGGAAGTTTGAACACGCCGTTATAGGGTGAAGCGAAGAGTGTTACATTGAAGATATACCAGTTTAAGATGGGTGAGATTGCAAATGTCATTAGAAAAACTAAGTCACCTAAAACGTTATGCCCGGATGAAATTCCTAATGTTCAAACGGCAGGATAAGCGATAGGTTCAGAACTTAACATCTAACAAAAGTTTTCAATTTGTCGCTAGCCACACATTTAGTTGTCGAAGCCAGGAAAATGGGCTGGAGGTCCTGCTATTGAAGCCAGGTAAAGATGCCGGCAAAGGCGAGTCACAATTTTCTTCTCCCCATCGTAACTGTTTGAGGATGTCAAGATAAATACCATAAGGCCAAGTATGAAAGTTTAGGCACAAGAAGTCCAAACTTCGTAAAGGGAAACAGAGAGTTGCCCAAGTTGGGGTGACATCTCCGGAACATGTTTAACCTACAGTCTTTAACTTCTAGACCACATAGAAATAATAACTTCGAGTCCTGTCGTCCATGATATATGGGTAAGATTGAGAACCTTTCTCGCGGAGCCTGCCGCCTTCTTCCAATCGAAAAATATAAAAAACAAACACCCCAATAAATTAAGGCCTGTCCCTTTGGCACATGGCCCGCGGAGATGAAAACATAGCTTAATGTGCAGGTGGAGGGTCATTTAATTTTGACCAACAACTAATCCACAGCTGGAGAGACATTTAATTCAGACTGAAAACTATCCCACTATCCTAAGATCACATCATGTATTTGTATATGTTTAAGCTTAAGACAACATAAAAAATTGGTCTTTCTTATTTATGGAGCTTTGCAAAGAACGCCGAATATAATCGATTATTTATTATTTTCAAAAATATATGCCACTTTTCCTATGTAAATGTTTCAGGTATGAAAAATACATTTGATTTGAAACAAATAAAAAAGCTGTAAGTTCGGCCGGGCCGATCTTTGAATAAAAGTACCGACTGTAGTTGTATTAGGGTCTATACGGCGACGTGGACCTGTATAGGAAACTTTTGTCATAAAATCGAATGCGAAACTTGAAAAAATCGGTGAATAAGGTAGCTAAAATCATCAAAATGCCGAATATAGAGAGGTACCGTTACATCGGAGCCATACGAAGACCTGGACTTGCATAGACAATTTTCTGTCACAGCCTGTAGCATCCATTGCGAACTTATATTTATACAAATTTTGAAACAATTCCGGTGAATAATGTCGCTAAAATACCGAAAAACGGATGTACCATTATATGGTACATCTGTCTTAGGCTGTAGTATCCATTATGAACTTCAAATACCAAATTTGAAATAATTCCGGTGAATAATGTCGCTAAAATCAACAAAGTATCGAATATCGGGAGGTACCATTAAATGGAGGTTATACCAAAACGTGGACCTACACTACATAGGCTGTAGTATCCATTACGAACTTCAAATACCAAATTTGAAACAAATCTGGTGAATAATGTGGCTAAAATCATCCAAATACCGAATATCGGGAGGTCCCAATATGTGAAGGTTATACCAAATCGTGGACCTACATGACCCATTTTAAATACCAAAACTCCTGCAGACATAATACACATTTGAGTAAAATTGTATCAACCTATTTCATATCGTTCGGAAGCTAGAGCGACTTTTCACAGACGGACGGACATCGCTGAATCGCCATGGAATTTTATGCTGATCAAGAATATATATACATACTTTGTGGGGTCTAAAATGTATATTTCGAGGTGTTACAAACGAAATGACAAACTTAATATAACCCCCATACTATGGTGGAGGGTAAAAAAAACACATTTGATTCAAAAGAAAATGAAAAGATCGAGTGCGTCAAAAAAGAATTACCATATTTGTTTTAACAACTGATTCTACTTCCATGACACAAGTTTCTTTAACTTATTCTCTATTGAAGAACAAATGTGTCCTCCCCCTTATATTTAGGCGCTTATTTAGATTTTGTAAATCTATTGCTTTAATTTTGGCTGGGTTCAATAAATTGCTTGTCAAAGCTTCTTAGTAGGTTTTATTTTCGTTAAAATTATTTCTAGTTTTGCTGTGTTCATTACTTATTTGCTAAATTAGTGGAAAGCACAATGTAATCCGATCCTACATATATATTGGTCACTTTATTTCCCCAAGTTCAAAATAATCCCTGCACTCATCATATGGCAACACTGTGACTATCTGTTACATTTCCTTTTTCTCTTTAACTCTCAAATACTTAATTTCTCTCTCTCTCTCTCGTTCCTCTGCCACTCAATGCTCACATGCTCATTAAATCACCGTTAAGTAGGCTTACAACAAGAGTGGCGTTTGTCACAAAAGGTAAAAGTATTCTTAAGTAGTGTTGTTGCTGTTGTTGTTGTTGCTGTTAACCATCATACAAAGTATGAGCAACCAAACACTCACACATGGGGCCCACAAGCAAGTGGGTTGTGTGTGCGGCTGTGTTGGTGGGAAAGGAAATCCTAGTAGATTTGTATTTTCGCTTATATTAGTTGTGTAGAGCCCTCCCATAGCAATTGAACAGTGAAGTACAACACCGTTAAACGCCAAAAAGTGTGCTTGACTTAGAAAAACCAACACTTCATACACAACACAACACGACAAGAACAACAGCGCATAGT